AAATATTTATAAATATTTGATATTTTAAATGTGTTTAGAAAGATTTCCCATGGGGGGTGCATGGAACGTTTGGGAATTCCCTTCACTATAGTGGGTGCAAATTCCAAAAAGGGCAAGTGACCTCTTCAATTTCTCCAAGAGTTTTTCACAAAAAACTAGAAATAAAATCAATAAAATCGCAGTTGTGTACCAAAAAAATGAGTAAATGGAGCTGCTCTTTCGAAAACCCCTCCTCAACAAGCCTTGTTTCTCTCTCCTCTCCATTTCTCTTACATCCCATGGCTGCACCCATTAGAAAGAAAAACATAGGGTCTTCATCCTCTGGTTTCTTTTTGTGAGATTCGCATGGAGCACAAACCCCATGAAGAAAGCTTCTCTAACAATGGTTGCTCTCATAGCTACTGCAACGAATGCATCGGGGTGGACCGCATTTCTACGAATGGGAGCTCCTCTAACAATATAGCTTTTGCGTCTAATTTGGAGCTTTTCGATATGGGATTGTAGACAATGAGACGATTTGCCTTTGATTTAAGGGGATCACAATTACTTACAAATATCCGATGTAAAATTTGATAGGTTCAATGGGTTACAAAGTTCGAAAAAAATTTCTTTTGAAGTTTGAGATTGGTCAATGGCATAAATAAAGTCATCCAATTTCACATCCAATAGTCAAAATTAATTTTGATTATCTTGTACGAAATGTAAATAGTCTCATTGAATACTTTTCCTTAATATATTAAAAAACCTTAGATTTATTTATTTATTTATTTATTTATTTTGGGGGATTTGTAACTACCTTCAGATATTTTTAAATACTTTAGAACATAATTTATACTATTGTATACTGATTTTGTTGGATTTTTTCATTACAAATATAAATTATATAAATCTTCTCGTAGTTTCTCGAGATAAGGTAACCTTGCACATTTAAGAAAGGGAAAATTATTTCTTGCGGGCTGGACCACATTTCTACATATGCGGTCCAAAAAGTGTAAAGCATCCATCTTAAAGATGGATGCAAGTAGGTGTTCCATCTAAAAACATTTGAAACTAACGGTCCAAATGTTTTCTTACTAGAATTATTATTTTTAATTTATAAAATTTATTTATTTTTTATATTCATGATGTCCATGTTAGAGATTACATGTCCTTAAAAATTAATTCTTAAAATCCATATCAAAAATAGTGTTATTAATAGGCCCACATTTCTACATATACGGGCTTGGCCACATAGAATCCGGGTCCTTAGGAAAATTAGTCTATTATTTGGCTTCTTTGCCAATTTAGAACCAATGATTTTAAAATGGGAAAAGTTAAAAAATAAGGTGTGAAGCTTCTTGTAGAAGTAAGGCGCACCTAGTGGTGGCAACGGGCTAGGAAAGCATGCCCCAGGCCAATCAACCTGGCTCTAAAAAGTTAGGGCTTGGGCCTCAAAAAGTTGCTCCACAGCCAGGACTGAATCAAGGCCAAGACAGGGCCAACTTAGTTCGGCCCGGGCCAACCCTGTTGTTCTTTATATTTTTCTTTCATTTTTATTTTTTTTTATTTAGCCCCGCCAAACAGTCCCTGATGAGGCCAAAGTGGGGCCTAAGCAAGGGCCTCTTTAGCCCCCTATGAGGCCTGGCGTGTTGCCAACTGTAGGCACACTAAAAACGGTACTGAAATAGCTCGTTTTGACAACCTTTAGATAAATGGACAAGGGACAAAAAAAAAGGGATTTTCAAGTTTTGAAAATATTGTTTTTTATATGTATTATCCATCCATTTTTAAAGATTTTCAAGTGCTAATTAATCTGCACTATCATTGGGACTTTAAATTTCATTAGATAACCCGAAAACAGATTTCATGTGATTGCAGTTTTCAACAATAAAACTGCATCTTTCAACACATTTTTTACTTTGATTGTTTAAGGTTGGAGCCTTGTTTCAACCCCGCCGTTTTAAAATTAAACCGTAACATGCAAGATTGAAGGCCTATCAAATAGTATTAAAGAGTTATTTGTACAAGCCCAAATTAGTTTCATTAACAAAAATATGTGATTAAAAAAAAAAATCAAAATGCTTTACGTTCATTTTCATTGGCAAATATATCAAATTTAGAGAATCGAATTACGTCCTGAATGGACATACCTCATTTGCAAAGATAACTTTTTCATTCCATATATGCTATGTCATCATTATTAGGACCATGCAGATTAAGAATGAATTACTCTTTGTGTTTTTATTTTAAATTGATTGAAATTATGTTCTGTATTAGCTAGAACTTTGTAAACAATGAGATCTCAAAATTAGTTTTATTTTGATTTTGATTTGAGGTATTTGTATAGAAAGTGTATTTTTTTGAAAAAAATTAAAAAAAAGTTAGGTTGGAGGTAAGTAACATAAAAAATGTAGTTTTTGTTTTTTTTTATATATAATTTTCCCTATAAAAAATGGGCGTTAGAAAGAGCATGCACGACAATAGTATGAGTCGCGGCACTCATAAAAACCGGGTCTAGATGCTCGAATTGACAACTCTCATTGCGTAACCTGGAAGGAAGACCCTCATGAAAAAGATTTGTGTAACTTAGGGTTGAAGAAAGCACTCTTTAATTATATTCCAAATGTCTAGATTCATTGGCCTTTCTAACTTTACCAAAAGAATAACGTCCAAAAAGATAACATAAAGACTTCGACAGATTGAGTTGCCAAGAAATGCAGCCTTAACCGAATCAATTATTGAAGGACACTGTTTTGGTGAGTCAGCCCACACATGGAAATATGTGTTTCTCCTCATGCATCAATTTATCTTTAAGATGGACGTCAAAAAATGGTGTTTCTACTATATATATCAAAATGAGTGATGGAAAACTATATCTAAAAAAATATGATTTTTATTTTAAAAATTAAATATTTCATATTCATAATCACCATGGCAGTTGAGATTGACAAATTCCAAATTTTCGGAGCTTAAAACCATCTTAAAGATGAATTTTGAAGCGGGGTTACACATCTACAAGTGAGTCGGCTGATGCAGTGAACACTTTTCCTTTAGTAGATGCTGTGTCCTTTGCTTTACCTTGCATTATTTGATGTACATTACTACATGAAATGCCATTGTACCATTCAATTTACATAACCACGAATGCCACTTCAGTTGGTTTTGAACACATTTAAGTCTCCAAAGATATAGATAATTTTTAAATAGTTGAGATAAAACTCGGATAATGATAATATTTGTGATATAAGTTAGGAGTTCTAATCCAATTTATTAAAGTCTTATATCTTTTTCCTTTGAATATTTAGACTCTCAACTCATATTTGGAGTTTCTAAGAATGAATAAAAGATCTTTTTTTGTCTAACTTTATGTGATTTTTGGGACAAACTTCAAGAATTTGAACCTTTGATTCTCTCACCTACTGCTATACCAAAACTCAAAAGTGTATTATAACAAAAATTATGCTAGAATTCATTGTTATTTCTTTGAAAAAAAAAAAAACTCTCTTTACTCTTTCTGAGATTCCCATTGTACCCCCCCCTCCTCTTTTCGTTTTGTTTTTTTACGACTTGACTCAAGTGAACAGATAAAGAACCAAGTAATGATGTGCCATAGAGGATTCGTGAATAACCACGTGATGAAGTGCCATAGAGGCTTCCAGAAAAACCAAGTAATGAAGTGCCATAGAGGCTTCGAGTAGAAGCTATTTAGAAAGTAAAAACAAAAAAAAAAAACCAAAAAACCAAAAAACGAGGATCAAAAAAAAAATAAGAAAAAATATGCCACTGGTGGTGTGCAATAGGACTTTTTAAACTAAATTTTGAAAAATCTCACAATCATATCATTTTTAAGGCTAAATTTGGCAAAAACATTAAGAAAATTTTTTTTATGTAGCTAGACCGCATTTCTACAATATTCCATCTAGAGGAATAAAGCATCCATCTTAAAGACGGACGCAAATTGGTAGTCCATCTAAAAACAAATATAACTAATGATTCTTGTTTTTTTAATAGAATTATTATTTTTAATTTTTAATTAATTAATTTATTTATATTTATTATCTCCATATTAAAGATTATATATTCTCTAAATAATTGGATTAAATTATAATTAAAAAATATATTTATTGCCAAGCCCACATTTCTACAATATGTGGGCTGGCCGCATAGAACCGTGTCCATATGTCAAAGATAGCTTAGAACTTAAAAAATATAAATGTAACCAGTCATACTTTGCGAATCGATCATCTAAATTCAAATTTCGACAAAAGATTTAAAACTTACGAAAATTTTTTATTTGATTTACTTTTAAACAACAAGTTGTCTAAATAAAAGTTCTGACAGGGGTTCTTACTTATTCCACACAAAAGAGAGAAAAATTTAGCAAAATACTCCTAAAACTCCAAGATTCACAATTTACTCATTTATCAATACACACCTGCGTTGATTAGTTTACTTTAATATGATATCCAAAATTAAATTGTAGAGTTCATCTCTCAGGCAATTTCTGATAAAATTTGCACAAAAAAAAAAAAATACAATATTATTTCATTATACTAAATACATAATGATAAATACCACAAAAAAAAAAAAAAAAAAAGACCTAGTACATAATATTCTTAAAAACGATCATTGAGCACTAAAGTAATTTTTAAGTTTGCAGTGTGGGAAGCTTTTATTCTTTAAGGGATAGCCTGCTATGAAACTTATTGTTGTTTTTATCCTTCAAAGGATAGCACGCTATGAAACTTATTGTTGTTTTTTTATTCTTTAAGGGATAGCATGCTATGCTATGAAACTTATTGTCGTTACAATCACCTTATTTGTACTAAAAAAAAAAAAAAATTGATAAGAATGAATGTGATCTACTTATATTAAAAATAAATAATTTTTTTATAGATTTTTATGTTTTTCGATGCTTCTGTTTTTCTACTTCTAAATTTCGGCGAGCAACCTTTGAATTTCCCCATACAAAAAATCAATCTTGCATTTTCATATAAATAAAGGATCGTCTGGTAACGCCTTTCAATCTCACTGACAGTACCGATTGATATTTAGAAAAATAAAAATAAATAAAAATAAAAAATAAAAAAGAAAAGAACGAAAGCTCAAAAGCCAAAACAGAGAGGTGCCTATAAATGCAACCCTTCAGAGGGCAACAAGAAGTAACGCCTCCATCTTTCTCTCTCTGCAACACCTATGGCCTCAGAACAGCTCGACGCCATCTTCTTCTCTCTCGTCTCTGAAGAAGTAGAAACCCCCCACTTCTCGGACGAGGCATATGCAGAAGCCCTGCAATTCCAAGAAGTCATCTTCTCTTCAATCATCTCTTTTCTCTCTACAACAACATCTCCTCCCTCTCTCTCTATAGCAGGCGCCTCCTCCTCCTCCACAGAAGAAACCACCCTCTCTCTCTCTGCAAACCCAACAGTCGCGAACACAGAAATAGTAGCCGCCATTGCACCAGTAGCAAGGTCTTCCTCCTCTGGTTTCTTCTGTGGAATATGCATGGATCACAAGACTCATGAGGAAACCTTCTTAAACCAAGGTTGCTCTCACAGGTACTGCAATGAATGCATGGAAATGCATATTGCTGCGAAACTGCGGGAGAATTTCGCCATTATTGGGTGCCCTAGTCCTCGCTGCAAGCAGGTTTTAGACAGCGAAAGTTGCAGGTCCTTCATTCCAGACAGGATTTTTGAGAGATGGGAGGGTGCACTATCAGAGGCCGCAATATTGGGGATCAATAAGTCCTTTTGTCCATTTATGGACTGTTCTGGGATTTTGGAAATTGATGAGGGCATACTAACTCAAATAAGAGAGAGTGAGTGCCCATATTGCAGAAGACTGTTTTGTGCTAATTGCAGGGTGCCATGGCATTCTGGGCTGGACTGTGATGAATTTCAAAGGCTCAGAGGGAATGAGGAGGGTAAAAATGACATTATCCACAATGAAATTTTGTTCACTAAGCTTGCAGAGGGGAATAAGTGGAAAAAGTGCCCTAATTGTAAGTATTATGTGGAGAAACAAGCGGGTTGTAATCATCTGACTTGCAGGTAATTTTCTTTTTTCTTTTTTTTAAAAAAAAAAAAATTTGTTTTAATTTTTTTGGGGTGATTTGGGGAGAATTGGAATAGTTGCCAATGTGTAAAATGTTAAATCGTGCATCTCTCATAAATTTCCGCTTTTATTTTCTTTTATTAGGTGACATGACATGGCCCCTGTTTAGGAGGCTTAGAAGTGATGTTTTTATTTTTCGAATTTTGTAAGGGGCGTTTCTCTACTAAAATGACCTTGAAATGGTTCCACTTGAATTGCAATGCAATAAATGCTTTTATTTTATTTAATCTTGTGATGCATTATATGTAGGGTCAATTTTCAAGATTTTTAAGTGTTAATGTATATACTAGATTTATTTCATTTTTGGGGTTTTCAATTTCATAATTAAAGGTAGAAATAGATTTTTTTACCATTAAAGAGTTTTCATCACCACAACTGCATCTCCGAACAAGGGTTTGAGGTACTCCTTTTAAAAAATCTACAATTTTTCTTTATTTCATATTTTTCGTTCATTTATTCAAAGTTTAAGAATGTGAAAGATTGTATTTATTTTTATTTCTACACTGCAGATGCAAGTCCGAATTCTGCTATTTGTGCGGATCCCCGTGGAATGCTAATCATACATGTGGGTGATGACCAAGAAAAAGGGTCTCTTCAAGGAAACAAGTATAGTGGAATTTATTAAACACTTGATAGGAACTTAGAAAGGAGCATGTAGCCCTTGTTCAATTTTATTTATGTTAATTTAAACTTTATTTATGTAAGTCTGGTTTAAGATATTTGTTTTATTGTGGCTTTTCACATTTCCGACCCACTTTCTACTTTCAATTGTGAATCATAATAAATTGTATGTACCTTAAAATGGGACCCTTAGTTTGGAATTTGAAGCATGTGATCTGTTGTGCTAATGTGAAACCTTGTACTACATAAATATTTTATGGAAAATTGTTTTATGCGGGCTGGACTGCATTTCTACATACTAGGTCCAGAAGTATAAAGCATCCATCTTAGAGATGATGCAAATAGGTGGTCCATCTAAAGATAATTAAAACTAACAGTCCAAATGTATTATTAATAAAATTATTATTTTTGGCTTTTATAATTTATTTATTTTTATAAATTAATCATCCCCATGTTAAAGATTATATGTTATCTAAAAATTTGGATAGATTTTATTTCAAAAATAAATTTATTAAGCGGCCTGCATTTCTACATGTTTGGGCTTGGCCCGCATGCTAACCACGCCCATATTTTATTAGAGGATATGCAATCCGGCATAATAGACAGAGACATTAAGCCGTTTGGGTACTTGAAAATCTATTACGGTGAAATGTATTTTCGAAAAATCCTCCATTTCAATGGTCCCAAAAGCATGAAATCTAGTTTATGCTCGAAAGGGTAAGAAATGTATTACGGGTAATCTTGTACCCCAACTGACCCGCTAGAGATTATTCATTTGCTCTATAATAGGGCTTTTGATGTCCGACACCCAAACCTCTTTATGGTGAAGCTCTTTCTCTCTCCTTTTTCTTTCTATAGTTTATACATACATATAATATGGGTGCGATTTGTATAGGGCTTAGGCTCTGAACAATCAAATTAGAGCCTACTTTTAAATAATGTCAAGAAATGTGGTTTCAATATTGAAAATATTTCTAATAGTCTTAAAATATATTTTTATATTTATTTATAAAATTTAAAGCTTCAAAAATAGTGTAAATCGACAGATATATGAACCTTGAAAATCTTAAAAATTGACGGTCTAAAAATGCGTTACAAAATGTATTATTTTTAAAACTTGAAATCCATTCTTTTCTCTTGCCCATGTATCTTGATGTCGAGATGATCGATTTGAAGATATTTGAGCATCAAAACAACCTCTTCTAATCAAATTTTTGAGGTAGGCTAAAATTTAATTGTTTAGAGCCTCACCTCTATATAAACTTTTTCCATAATATATATTTATCACTTTGTAGTCTCTCTCTTCACTTGTAATCAAAACCTCATACATGTATCACAAAATGAGGCCAATACAACCCTTTAAGTTATGTGCTTTAATTTAATATAAAAATATGCTCGTGAAATACATAATTTTTATTTTGAAATATTAGAAAAATGGAAAATTATTGAGTAGTTAAAAAATAATGTGTATTATGATAATTTCTTAAAATCATATAATAAAAATAGCATTTCACAATTGAATAATATGTTTATTTTAAATTTCTTTAAAAAAATAATATTAATATTATTTTTTGGCTTTGTTTTTATAATTAGAATTGAATAAAAGTTATAAAAATATTATTGATATAGCTTCCTCTTCTCTCTATTGCTTAAAACTTCTTCACTTATTTTGGTTGCGGTTGACATTCTAGTTCTAGTTATGCCCTATGTAGTGATAGTTTATAAGCCAATGCATCTATTTGATTTTAATGATCTAGCGTTTGTGCCTAGCAGGCCTTGGCATGAGATTGGGAACATGGTGTTGCCATTCATTTTTTCGATTCGCAAAGCTCAGGTGATATCCAACATCAAATTTGTGTTGATTAGTTTTGCCATAGAACATGAATAAATGTCTCGGTCTTGGTAGATTTTTTTTGAGGTAACTATTGATATCATGCTATATAAAATGAGGATATGTTCAGTAGTTTTAATTTCAATTGATATTTTGTCTTAAAAAAGGAAAATATTAAAACTATAAAAAAATAAAAAAAGAAACATTACTATAAGTAAAATTCATGAAATATTTTCAAGCCAAAATGACAGTAATGCATTTCCAAGATTTCTTCAGGACGTAGCCAAACAATGACAATGTATTCTCAAGTTGTACCCAGATAGTACCCAAACAACAATTCATTTTCAGAAAATGCATTACGCTAGTAATGTAATACAGAAGTAATATATTTCATAGACAATATATTTTTAGGTACCCAAACGGTCCCTTAAAGGAATTACAAACACTTTCTTTATAATCTTGGAATAAGATTAAGATTGATCAATCCAGGAGGTCAATTACAACTAAGGGTGGTAATGGACTCGGACATGACGTCCAGACCCGATTCGGGTCTAGAGATGGGTCAAAAATGGGCCGAACAGGTTGGGTCCGGGTCCAAATATTGGAGCCGAGCAGTATTCGGGTCCTTGTTCGGTCTAGATCCGACCTCAATACTATTATTATATAATTAATATTTATATATAATATTTATTTAATATTTAAATAAATTTAATTATATATTTTTAATTATATTATTTAAATAAGAGTGAGGTTTGTATAGAGCCTAGGCTCTAAACAATCAAATTAGAGCCTACCTTCAACTAGTGTCGAGAAATGTGGTTTCAATATAGGAAATCTTTGTGATAGCCTTAAAATATATTTTTATAATTTATTTATAAAGTTTAAAGCTTTAAAAATAGTGTAGATTGGCAGATTTATGAAAACTTGAAAATCTTGAAAATTGACGGTCCAAAAAATGTGTTACAAAATACACTACTTTCAAAACTTGAAATCCATTTTTTCCTCATCTCCATGCTTTTTGATGTCGAGATGATCAATTTGAATATATTTGAACATCAAAACAACTTCTTCTAGTGAAATTTTTTATATAGGCTCAAATTTGATTATTTAGAGCCTCGGCTCTATATAAACTTTTCCCTTTAAATAATACATGTATTTATTTACCATAATATTTATTTATTATTATTAGTTTTTGGATCGGGTGCAATTGGGTACGATAACTTTAGGTTTGGGTCCTATAACTTTTTTTTCAGGTATGGCCATACCCGGTCCCGACCATACCCATTGCCACAGCTAATTACAATTGCAGGCTTTCCTTGAGGGACTTTTTGGGTTTCAAATCGCTCCCGAAGTGACAAACTTCCTCGAAAATTGTCGGTGTTGCCCACCGATTTTCGAACAATTTTTCTATGCGAAATCGGATCCAGTGGATTTGTGAACTTCTGTTATGATTTTGGAAAGATGATGATTTGAAAAATCAAGCAATCAGATAAATATACATATACAGTCTAGAATAACACGATTTGCAGATTTGTGAGATGCATCTCGTGCCCCACCAAACCTTAGATTGCCAAAAAAAACATTTTGTAGTCCTATGACAAGGATCTGTTCTAAACTTTCAAAGATGGCAGCATCACTGGTAGTTCAATTTTATAGTATCCTGCCAAAGGAATTATTTTAGACCTATTCAGGGACAAAATAATCTCTTTGAGTTCAAAATTCAAAGCACATGAGCAAAGGAAAGCACCTAATATGTGATTTATAGAGTTTCAATTATATGAAAACTCTCTTGTATGCTATTTCTAAAACCTACCACTTTAAGTTTTCACTCCCATAAACCATCATTATCATCCAAGCTTTGTTCCAACTATGTAGGGTTAGGTACATGAATCTTGTTCCATCGTTCTGCTCTATCACGGGATAGACCCTTAATCAGACCATAAATCACTATATATCTTTTCACTACTGCCATCTATGTCCTTTTGAGTTTTCATCTTGCTATTTTAGAGCCTTCTACTTGAACCAAATCGCCTCTTATGACAAGTATTGTACTAAATTTACATAGCACATAATAAGCACATAGAATTCAACTTGCCATCATCTTATTACATATTGGAGCCAGCCCTAAGTTTTATTCGATGTATTCATTCTGTATTATTTCCTTTCTTGTCCTGCTATTCATCTACTCTCAACATCGTCATCTCCATTACACTCACCGTATAGATATTTCGTTTCTTGACCACCGAAATGTCCTTCCCATAAAGGCTAGATGATTTCACAGTTGTCCTATAGCACTTCCCCTTCAATTCTATTGGTATGTGGTGATCATATAAAACTCCAGTTATAAATTTACACTTCGCCTACCTTGCTCTAATTCTATATACATCTTCCACAATCTCTCAATTCTCTTGGATTATTGACGCAAGATATCGAAAATGATCTCTTTTGGGTATTTCTTGATTATTAATCTTAACTATTTCATCATTTCCAAAGTTCTAATTTTGTGTTAATGTCATCTCTAGTCTCATCAATCAAGGCTTTGTCATCCATGAAAAACATATATTGTTCTACCTCATCCTATAGCTACCTAGTTAACTCGTCTATAGCCAAAACAAAGATATAGACTCAATGTTGACCCCTGAAATAGACCTAGTGTTCTTGAAAACTCACTTGTCTCTCTATTAGTTATTGCTTCATTGAACATATCTCTCACCATGTCAATATATCCTCTAGAGACTTCTTTCTTTTTCAACACCCACCAAATTAACTCTTTGGATACCATATTGTACACTTTCTCTAAATCAATAAAGACCATATAAAGATCTCATCTCTTCTCCCTAAACTTTTCACTCCTTTAAATGATTTTCCAAAATAAATGAGCGATGTTAAACTAGAAATGATGAGTGTTAGGTAACTTTTGGGGCAAACCCATTTTTAGGATTATGAATTATCTGAAATCTAATAAAAAAAAATTGTCCTAAACCTACCCATAAGCAAAGTTGTCCTAAACCTACCTGTAAAGTAAACTTGTCCTAAGCCTTCTTGTAAGGGAACATGTCTATTGTCCATGACAAGATTTCCTCAGTTACTATTTTGAAATCAATAAAATTTATCCACAAAATACTTACATTTTCCCAATTGTGGGCCAATTTCATGCTATGAGGATCACGCTTATCTTACTTTGTGCTGGCAGCCCATTTCAAGCCATGAGGATCAAGTTCATACATCTTCCCATTTGATAGCTCTTCTCTTGCCATGGGAATCCGGCCAACCCATTGATCCTCTCAAGTGTAGAAGCTACACTTTGATCCTACACTATCACCATGGGGACACATGCCTAGACTTCAATGACTGAAAGGTATCTTGAAAAATATATATCATCTAGTAGTATTGCATTCAATATATCTAGTATTGCATTGATTAGATCCTTCAGCAGCAGGTCTCTCCTTCAGTGCTATTCATTGAAATGAACATCAAAGGGGGGCAGTTGTGAACAAATGAAATTTGATTGGTACTCGCTACTGATCATATAATTATTGTCCAAGACCTAGACCACCCACACACCATAGGATCACCAGATTACCACAATATGTCGACGATACTCTAAAATTAGTTTAAGACTTCCATATAGAAAATTGTTTTCCTAAATAGCTTGAAACTTATGCCATATTTTATCTTGCATATCATTTGAAAGTTATGGCTATTTTACAAACATATCATGAAATCCCTCATGTGTTACATCTTGTGATGCATGCAGAACATCTCATATTGCTGATGGAACACCTCGTGGCCGACTCTCTCTCTCTTTTTCGGATGGCATTTTGCCGTATCACTGCAAGAATGATATATAAGCTTCGAAAATCTTTCAAAGTCGATCTATGACTTGGTCTATGTCATAATAAAATCCGAGGCATTGATTCGAAACCGTAACCCCCAAACCTCAACATATAAATAGCCCTCTCAGTTCTAATCTAGAGATGAATGAAGGGAGCCACAACCCCAATTTTCTAAGGTCTAGTATCAATTCCAATATTACCTTCATGTTCCCATATTGTTCTACAATCAAAATGCCCTGAACATAGAAAATCCAAACTGTCGTAAAACCCCTTCTTTTAGGCATAGTTTCCCTTTTTTGCCATAGAATTTCTATTTTAATCCAAGGTCCCTTTCCTGAACTCTACAAATGATTAGGACCCTTTTTTTCTCAGTTATCACTTAGACTAGGAGACCAAGATCTTATAAACTCCACCATATATCCTTCATATACAGTTATATCTAACCCTACAGCTCTCCAATCCTAGTCAAATACCTCAAGACCTCAATCAAATATTCTCTTATCATGATCTTAGGGATCGACCATGATCAAATCAAACTATTTCAATATGTTCTTAGGGTTGGTATGATCACGAAGAGTTCGCATTTCCCCTCTTTTCTTTTGTTCTTTTGGAAAAAGCAGGTGAAACGGGGCAAAATAATGAGAGGGATAAAACATTGTACCGAATAGAAAATAAGAGTTTCAACCTATAATATTCCAAATGTGAAGGATTCGTTATCACAAGGCAATATTTGGTCCCTACAATGTAAAACATGTGCATTTATATTGTCCAAGAAAATTTGTCCTCGGGGATGCAAGGAAGTAGTGAATTATGTAAATTATCTTGCTAATGTAAATACACAAGTATTGTAAGATTTAGAGCACCCGAGTCACCTTGATGGACTCCATGTTTCACCAAAAATATTCTTGTATTTTTTAAAATTAGTGGGTGAAATGGAGCAAAATAGGAAGTATGATAAAACTTTTCTTGTGAACTGAAATAAGAACTTCAATCTCTTTATTTCCAGGCACGAATAGATCACTCTCACAAGACAGTATTGCCCCTTGTACAAATTAATATGCATCTATGATCTCCAAGAAAACTTGTTATAGGGATACAAAGAAGTAAATGACTATGTATATTATCTTGCCAATACAAATACACAAATATTGCAAGATCTAGAACACCAGAATCACGTCTTTCTAGAGAGAAAGAGTTCATAAAAATACTTCAGAACAATAGGAATCTTTGTACTCGTAGAAGGAAAACGATTTCCAATTTATAAAAAGAGAAAAGTGTATTTTCAGTTCCACCTAATGTGCAGGCTCAATGTATACTTTACATGACGAGTTTTAACTCTCTGATTCTTAATCACAACCATTTAAAATGGTTCATCAATTGCAATCAACATGTAATTGGAAAACCAGCAGTCACAAGGTTTAATGGTGTCTCCTTGGGTTCCCAAATCCATTCATCACACTTCATGCAACGGTGGAATATCGCCATTGCAAGTGGAATCCAAATTAGAGCAATAGCCATTGCACAACAAATTAACAGAGCTGCCGATGAGCACCAAATCACCGGAGGCACCATAATATTGGAAAAACCCCTTGACTCTCTTGTGCCCTTGCCCCATAGTGGTAAAACTTTACACAAGCCATGAGCCCAACCCAAACATGCGCGCGAACCAAGTGTGTCGATGTGAGCGTTACCGGAAATATCCCTTGTCTCATCAACGGCCTTACCCTATAATATATATTGATGCGAACATAAGAAGTACAAAGTGTGCCTCATGCATGTACACACATACACAAGTGTGTGTCACACACTTCATGTGTTCTGCATAGGCCTTCTTCACCTTTGGTACTTAAAACACAAGCAAAAAAGATATCCTCATATTTAAGCATACTTTTTCTTACCCCAGAGTGGGATAACTAATGCACAACTTCTCTATGCAAAAAAGACAAAAAAATACACATTTCTTACCCAAAGTGGGATAACTAATGCACAACTTCTCTATGCAAAAAAGACAAAAAAATACACATTTCAAACCGTTATAGTTTAAAAAAGATATTATTTTGAAATAATACATAGTATTTTTGCATAATAAAATATAACATATACAAAATCAGAATAACATCATAAAAAGTAAGTGATGCAACCATCAATATTATCTGCTGCCCTATATTGATTAGTTAGTGATATATTGTCCCTACTAAAAATATCAATGGTCCCCTTAACAATTAATGTTAATTGTCATGGTGCGCATGCTGAACTTGTGCTCCAACTTATCACATTTTCCGAGTCAAGTTCGGTCATTTTGGCTCCTACAATAGTCTTAATCCTTGTAAAAGAGACTGAATTTTAGCCACATACGATGTGAGTACATCACATTGCCCCTAAATAAGAGACTAGCATTTCGCCTCTGCGATTTTTAATCACCCTTTGTGATTCTTAATCTCACCCTCAACACCAACCACTCTATGATTTTCTTCAGAACTCCCTTCAAAATTAAGTTTTTCTTATAGGGGAGGAACCCATCTACCCACCTATTTGCAAGGAAATTTTATGTTCCTCTCCTCCTCCACAGACACCATGTCATGGAAACAACCAGGGCCTTCCCAAGAGCACATCTACATTTTGATCTCGGAGGATAACTGATATAGAACTAGATGTGAGATTAATTGCAGATATGTCAATTAAAGCATTATCATTGGTAGTGCCCAGCTTCATTTTTTAAAAGAAAAAGGATATTTTATGATAATATGATTGACTGAGTCTCCAATTGATTCATGTCTCAGTTTTAGCAAACCCCATTCCCTCAATTGATCGACTCTCCAATTGATTCATATGTCAGTTTAAGTAAACCCTAGGTGCCTCAACTCACTAACTAGATGAAGTCCAAATACTGGGTAGCTTCTCAAAGTTCATTGTACATCTTACCCCATTTCACCTTGCTTAGATCTAGAGTGTATCCATGATTTGCCCATCCTTGATGAAGGCCAATTGGGATCCAATAATCACCCAAATTTGTTTAAACTTTTGCAAAATAGTTGATACAATAGTTTTTCGACCTTTTTATTAAATTTAGAAAAAAAAAAAGGTTATAACCATCACAATGATCGATCGTGTTTTTATTAAATCAAAATGACAATCGCAGAAAACGAGTATGACCCTCCATTTTTGCTTTCTAACCACACACGCTATCATTATTCTTTTTTTTTCTTTTTCTTTTTTCTTTTTTACAAAATTATTGTTAAAAACAAAAAAGTCCTCTCCACTACATGAGATTTAGCAAGCCAAAAGTATATGTTGCCGAACACATAGACAAAGCCAAAAGTATATGTTGCCAACCACATAGACCTACGGTGTACTAATTAATATGGACAAAAATATAAAATTACAAATCATGAACTTGCAAGCACATTTTAATGAAATTAGGAAACTAAATAAGTAGTAGTAATAAATTTCAATGAATTGTCCCAGCAGTAAATAATTTTAATGAATTCTATTAAAATTTTAAAATTTCAAATAAAGAATTTTAAATTTTTTTAAAATTTCTATTTCAAATAATTCTTTTAATTTTTTTTCAAAACTGCTATTTCCATATGTCAATTTTAATTCAATGATATTAGTCTCACATTTTAATTTTCTTAATGTCAAAACCTCTCAATACGGTTCAAATGGTGTTGGACAATGCGGTTCCAATACTGAAAATATTTGTGATGGCCTCAAAATATATTTTTTTTTATCTATAAAGTTTGAAGCTGTAAAATATATTTTCTTTTTTATCTATGTATTTGTTTTTTATCTATAAAGTTTGAAGCTTTAAAATATATTTTCTTTTTTATCTATGTATTTGTTTTTTATCTATAAAGTTTGAAGCTTTAAAATATATTTTCTTTTTTATTTATAAAGTTTGAAGCTTCAAAAATAGCGTAGATCATTTTTATCTATAAAGTTTAAAGCTTCAAAAATCGTGTAGATCGACAGATCTATGAAAACTTGAAAATCTTGAAACTTGACAGTCTAAATGTATTACAAAATATACTATTTCCAAAACTTTAAATCCATTTTTTTTATCATATTCATGCATCATGATGTCGAGATGATCAATTTGAGGATATCTGACCATCAAAAGAACCTCTTCTAGTTAGATTTTTGAGGTAGGCTCTAATTTGATTGTAGCCTCCTGCTTTATATAAAATTTTCCCATTAATGATTAGGACCCACTTCAAAAGTATACTATAAAATATGGAGTGGGCCCTTCTGCCTCTCTTTTTAAAAAACTCCCTCCATCAAACCGGTTTATCGCTTTTAGAAAAGTTCCCTCCAACCAACCGGTTCATCTCATTTTAACAAGTTCCCTCCCTCAAACCAGTTTCTCTTTTTTTAAAATTATTTTTATCAAACCAGTTTAGGGTAGAACCACAATTAGCAAATCAGAGAATAATAATATATCGGCTACCCAAAACATCAGTAATAAATCGGTTCTATTTCATAAATTCGAATAAAAAAATCAGATAAAAAATACGGATCACCAAAAACACTGGTATAGGGTAGAACCATAGTTAGCAAGTCAAGGAATAATAATATATCGGCTAACCAAATTCGGAGGAAAAGATGGAGTAAAAAATACGGATCGTCAAAAAAACCAGCTTAGGGTAGAACCATAGTTAACAAGTCGGGGAATAATAATATATCGGCTATCAAAATAAATTGGTTATATTTCAAAAATCTAGCGGAAAAATTGGGTAAAAAATACATATCATCGAAAATAAAGCTAAGAATAGTGAAAATTTCAAATTTGGCTCAAAAAAACGAAGTTCAAAAAAATCAGATATGTAAAGATGACACAATATAGGATTATGATTAGTAGTTGTTATATAAATACGTCAAATCCATTTAGCAATAATTTTAGGGCCTTACCTTGTGTCATTAGAATAAGGGTGCGGTTTGTATAGAGCTGAGGCTCTAAAATATCAAAGTAGAGCGTACCTTCAAATAGTGACCAGAAATACGGTTTCAATACTGGAAATCTCGGTGAAAGCCTTAAAATATATTTTCATCTTTAATTATAAAATTTAAAGCATAAAAAATAGTGTATATTGAACATATCTATAAATACTTAATAATCTTGAAAATTGACAGTCCAAAAATGGGTTGCAAGGTGCACTATTTCCAACACTTAAAATCCATTTTTTTTTCTCATGTCTATGCATCTTGATATTGAGATGGCCAATTTTAGAATAGTTAGGCACCAAAACATCCTCTTCTAGGAAATTTTTTGAGGTGAGTTCTAATTTTATTGTTTGAGCCTCGGCTCTATATAAACTTTTTTCTTAGAATAATATTGGACAATTTTTTATCTAAACTTTCAATAAATCCAACAAGAATACTCACTTTGTTGTCACAACGTAAAACATATGATAGATTTATTAGGAGCATAAAATGAAACAACATCAATACTAAACACGAGAACTAGATTAGTAAATAACAAGAATTGTAAACTAAAGTATAGGATTATCCTTCACAAAAAAAAAAAACAACACACACACACACGCACACACAAAAGTGACCCTTAGTATTAGATTATAGTTAAGTATTAGATTATAGTTAACTACAATAAAACAAAAAGACGCAAATATGTAAAATAGTGTGCTATGTTGTATACACCAATGAATTAAAAAATAAAATTATGAAATTAATTAAACTTCTCTAAACATAAAGAAAGCAACAAAATACTTAAGTAAATTTGAATCTCCTATTGAATTCCTAGCCGCCTAAATTTTTCAGTATCATTGAATCTCTCTCGTTCTTTTTATAAAGACATTGTGGGCTTAAAAA